TGCCCTCTCGCTCGCACTCCCCGCCCCGCTTTAGCCACGACACTCGGTGCGGATGAACGCATTAAATATGCAGAAAAATAAAGCAACACACACAGACACACACGCACACAGAGAGAGAGAGCTGTTAACTGGTGTCCTTTATCCTTGAGCTGCAGGAAAATTTCATTAAGCAAATGCCTGGCTCAGATTTTTCACAAGCTCCAAAACAAAAAACAGTAGATTCAACAAAGATTAATTAATTGCATTTTTTTTTAACACAAACACGGAAAAATGGGAAAGGAAAGTCTTCATTTTAAATACAAATTTTATAGAAAACTGTCAGTAGTTAAAGCTTACTCATAGAATACAAAAGAAACACAAAAAATTACCAACAAAAAAGCCAAGAATTTCAAGTCAATAAATAATCAAGAAAAGTTTTTAGTTGGTTTCAGGTACACCACGGCGTATGATTAATATGGAATTATTTATGCGCTGAAGCTACTAAGAAGCTACAGACATTATTATTTTTCACGTATATAAATTTATAATAAATTAATAAATTTAAATTTGATTAACTAGAAATACCAAAGAACTTGAGCAAGAGAGCTAGGGAGAGTTGCACTAAAGAGAGACCAAAGTTCACCATTAACAATCAAGCAAAGAAATTAAACAAAATAAATAAATAAATAAATAAATAAAAACTAATGAGAAAAAAACTGATTAAAACAAAGCAAAGAGTAAACAGGAAAACCACAGAAAGCTTAAATAAAAGTTCAAGTACAACGGTGCGTATGCTTAATATGGCTAACCCTAGTTGGCCTTTGATTTCCGTTGAGTGAAAACCCAGTATTGGCGATAACGTCCCAGTATTTACTGTCAGCTGCAGTGTCCTCTCTCAGTCAGTCTCCGCTCAGTCTCTCCCTCTCTCTTTGTGTGTGTGGTGTGTGTGTGTTACAACAATGAAGGCAGCATGCAACATAATTACAACTCAACTTCAACTTTACACTTAGACGCCAAGCGAAGCTCGTTAGAGAAACAACAAAAAACCAAGAGAGACGCGCAAGTGTTAAACGCGAAATAATTAATACAGTGAAGTTATAATAACTAAATCTCTCTTTTAAGCAGTTTTCAAGTTTATTAAAAGTATAATATTATATGAAAATCAACCGAAAGCCTTGTATATAGCAAAATAAACACACAAATCTGACTAACTAAGGAAGAAAACACTTAAACAACTTTTCTATATGATTAATAATAATCGGAAACTTGAAGAAAATAAGCTAACAATCCTAACAACGAATCAACAAACAACGCCGTTTACACAATAACCATAAATTGATAGAGGAATGCATGTAAGTCAAGTCCTTAAATAAACTAAGAAATATGTATGTTCCTAGTTAAAACTACAAACTAATTTGCAACAACAGTTGCCCCAAACAATGGCCAAAGAAATTGCCATAATTTTCTCCTTTCATTACTTTTATTTTTTGTTGTTCTTTTCTTCTATTTTATTTGATTTCCTTTTGTTGCCACTGCTCTGTTTACTGGGCAATAATGAATCGTAGGCGGCCGTGGGTGGTTGCGCCATCGATGGGCGTTAAATTTAATTAAAAGGTATGCTTGTTACAACACCAGCAACAATTACTGCGACAACGGCAGCAACAGGCAGCCAGTGGGAATCGATTTTCCTTTCGACTTGTCTCAGTTGGCAAATGGCAAATGGCAAACGTCACTAGGCAACGGAGGGGTGTGTGGGTGGTGGTATTTGTCGGACCCTTGGCCACATAGACAATTGATAGTAATGACGACACAAGCACCCACATTCGAATAAACACTCGCCAAGCGAACCAAAATGGACGTCATAAATGTTTGACAATGCACACGAGGCGTATGAGTAATGGCAAAGCAGTTGAACAGTTGGTAAACAATAGGGGGCACAATAATAGGAAAAGTCAAGGAAAATTTGTATTTTCTATTTTCATTAAACAAATAAGAATGTGTGAGAAATTTTATGAACTTATTTTAAGTCAATAAATATAATTATTTTATATATAAAGATGCATTGTTGATACAATTTTAATTTCCTGAAGTTTTAAGCCAGATATTTGTTGAAATTCGACTCGTAATTATATTTATTTTATAAAAAATCTTGATTTTCATATTTAAATGTAAGCAAAAATGCATTAAATTCATTACGACAACTTTTTTTGTGTTTGTTTTTAAACGAATGTTGGCAATATTTTGTTTTTGCCATCCGAGGCCAAGCATTTTATGAAACTTATAAATTATGGACTTATAACCCTTTTGAGTGCTAAAATTAGGAAAGAAACTTCCTCAAATATAGAAAAAATTATCATAGTTGTATGGATATTTATTTGATCGTTAAAACAAGAATATTTAAGGGTAACTTTTGTTGAACTAATTAACAATAATTATGGATCTATGACTTGCAACTTCTGTATCACATACGCGACTCAGAGTTGGGCAGCAGCCGTCACTTCCTTCTAGGGATGTTAGAAATTTAGAGAAAAGAATATTGCAGATAATTTGCCATGTTGTAACTCCCAAAAAACAGTTAATATATAAAATTATATAAAAGGCAGCTGTAACAATTTAGTTTTTGTTTCTTTTTCGAAACTATGTGCTGCCATTTTGCCCATAGCTGTATTGCTTTGTTGCATGGCTATAAGGGGCGTGTGTGTAGGCGGCTCGTTGGACATCATTGAAACAACTATCCATTGACACCGCCCCCCATTTCCCACACTCAACATCCTCTGGCTGGGGGTCAATGGGTGCATAAGATTGCTTTTTATGCTTCGATGTCATGGCTCGCACTTTGGCCAGTTTCCTCTCGCCCCCTCACATATGCAGTCTCTGTGTTTTAGGGGACCAACTTTTAGACATTTCTCCACCATTGACAAGTTTTTGCCAGTGTTTTGTCGTTCGCATTTGTTTGCCGTTAATTGCATGGAAATTGTGCGCGCAATTGAAAACAAAAAAGTTAAACAAGGCAAAACGGGGACAGTGGCATTGTTCCAGCTTCCCTTCGTTCAGGAAGGACCCACATCCCTGCCACTCGAGTCAATGGCCAACTACGACTAAAATGAATGAATGAATGAATGAGTGAATGAATAATTGTAATTACTAGCTGGGCAAAATAGCCATGAATCAACCACGCTGGCCAGCCAATGGCCAGCGAATGTAAAATGGTCATTAGTCAGGCCGGCGGGGAAGCCCCCTTCAGACAGGCCGCCTTTTTGGCAGGCCAACGCAAAAAGTCACCAAGTCATTGCCTCGTTTATAGTTTTTTTTGGCTGCAACAACAAATGGCAACTTGGCCACGTTTTCTTTTATGGCTCCATTCGAGTCGAGTCGAGTCGAATCGAGTGTGTTTATGAGTGTCTGTGTGCTCAGTAGTATGGAAAGTCCATTGCACCCGTCATTGAAAATGGCTGACGCCGCGAAAATTCAGTTATCTGCATAAATTTCGAGCGATCTCAGCGGGGGGAGGGTGACGTCACGGGTCCAACATTATAAACCCCCGTTGACAGGTGATGTCAGTTGATAAATGACCCAGTTTTCAATCGACGACCAGTTGAAACTTTGCCCTTTTGCTTAATAATATTAAGTGCAAGTCAACCAAACCGTAAAGGGTTTAAAATTTAAAGTGCAAGTGATAACATGTAGGAGAGAGGGAGGTGAACAGAAGGTGTTTCTGCGAATTGGGTAATTGGAATTCCACGGAAGAGAAAGATTAAAAAAGGATTCTTTATGGCACACAACTAAGCACAGGAGAATTTATGGGAACAAAAACTATTTACGCCATTTTCATACCCTTGCAGGATAAGCTCTTTTTTACCAGAACTGGTCTTTTTCTGACACTGTCAAAAGAATAATAATATACACCTGATCCTGATGTGTGCAAACTAAGCTTTAAAGGTAAAAACATATAGTATAAAATTCAGGAAGGAAAAAGTGGTTTTGAATTCAAGGTAAAGGAAAGTAAATATTTGACCAACTATCTTGAATGTATGATTAATAATTATGATATTTTTTTTTTTTGCCTAAGAGGTCTCAAAGGAATACCTGCTGACCCTCTTTATCTCTTTGGTTTTGTTATGAATATATACTAACTAGTGTGCATTGTTTTTGCTCACCTTTCTTGGCCTAAATTTAGCAAACCATCGTCTACTCTGGTTACCTAGATATGCCTTTAATTTACATTATTTTTGACTGTGGCCAAGCATTTAGCATTCTGACCTTTTGCTTTATGGCTTTCCTGTGTCGCTGTGCACCGACCTCTTTTTTTCGAGCATTTCAAATGCATTTCCGATGAGGTTTCCTTGCCGCTGGGCACATTGTTGTTGTTGATGATGCCGTCTCTCTGGCAGTGATTGCGATGGCTAATTGAAAGTGTCAATTATCAGCTGGGCAGGCGGCAATGGCAATGGTAACGGCCTGCATTTGACAGCTGGTAGGTAGCTGGCAGTGAACTTTCACATTTGTGAGCCAGAACCCACTGTTGGCCTGCGGGGCGTATGCGTAATGTGCAGTAACCTTGGCCAGTGGACAAGGAATGCAGAATTTCCCGCTCACCGCTCACCGCCCACCGCACCACCCCTGGATTTTCATTATTATTATAATTCATCCTTGTGCCTGATAAGTTTTTCCTCTGCCATGCTTTGGGGTTTTCTATTTGCTGCTCTTTTTTTCTTTGTTGCTTCAGTAATTGCTCTTATTGCTGTTGTTGTTGTTGTTCGCTGAGTTCGCGCGGTCAGCGCATGAAATTTCCATCTGCTCCGAGGCAGGCGGCAGGGAAATTATAGTGGGGAAATTTCAAGGAATTGCGCTCTCAAGGATTTAATGGCAAGCGCGCGCACCGAGAGGAGTTTCGTGGTGAATTGTTAGTCCTGCTCTCTTAATATGCTGATTTTTGGCCCTACTTTGGGAATTTTTCCGAAAAGTAAAGCAAACAAAAGTCATTAAATGACCAAAATAAAACGAGCCATTGATTGAAGAGCTCAGAAGATTGATTTCCGGTCCGGCCAAGCCATGTCCCGCTCGCTCCCATTGCTTGCCATCCCATAAAGCAGCCACTTAAGCCCACCGCACACAACCCACCCAACGCAACCATCAATTTTGCATGGCATGTTGGCGCCGTAGTTGCAGGCCATGGCATCGCCTCCTGCTGCAACTGCTGCATTATCAATTCATGAGGAGAAGGAGCACAGGACACACCAGAAACAAGATACTATACACGATATACGCCATCGCCGGAGGACCTCTGTGGATGGCAGCATAAAGCAGGCCCATAAACACCATGGAAGCTGGATTTTATCTCGCTTGAACTACATAAGTTATAGGCCAAGAGGGGCTGGCCAAGGCACTGAACGAAAATGAGTTACACTATTGTGTTTCACATTAAGAATTTTTCAAAAATACAATTTATAAAAGTAATAATCAAGTTGACTTCAGACCTCACAAAAATCAGTAACCAATAATAATAAAGATATATTTTGAAAGCGAACAGATTTCAAAAATAAGAATATTTTATATATTTTATATTAAATATATTTTAACTTCCACTTGTTCCAATTTCTACAGCCTACAGCTTTCAGTCCACCAATGTGGATCGCATTTTAGGATCTACATTTATATTACCCATGGGAGCAGCTTACGATCTACGCATTTTATGATCTACATAGTTCCCATGAAAGTGCATATAAGTTTCATTTGTCAACATTCATTGCTGTTATCATAAATATAAAACCTAATGGGAAAGTTCAGGCACTAGAAATCCCATATCAAAGCTTAGGTCAAGAAAAAAAGATGATCTTCTTACTCACTCTGTCGTTCGTCTCGGGTTCAAGCGATGAAAGCTCTTCTTCGTCTTCTTCTTTGAGTTAATTCACAAAGCTTTACACTGAAAACAGTCGAGGCCAGTGGAATTTTGCACATTGTTCCTGTTCCAAAACCTTTGCAGGGCTGGTATTTCACAACGGGCCACATATTACGCTAATATCACCAACGAAAACGATTTTCCGACCGTTTTCCCAACTTTTCACACTTTTATCGTACGCGCTGTAAAATTATCGACCGAACTAGGCGAAAGCAAATGCAAAATGCAAAGAAACTTGAAGTCATTATGGGAATATCAGAGATAAGCGAGATCGTAGAGATAAGAACTTAAGAAGAGCGTAAGCGGGGAGCGGCGCTATATAGAGAGAGGGGCACTCTCCCACTCTCCCTCTCTCCCACTCTCCCTCTCCCACTCTCTCCCTCTCTTCCCGATATTGCAAAACAAAGCCAGCGTTTGCTTTGTTCTCCCAATTTTTGGCCTCTCACCTGGGAATAACGATTTATTTTACTAAAGTAAATGTGTAATGAAAACCCAAAAGCCTTCAAGCTCGCCCTTTAAGTTCCGATTGGAATAAGTCGCAAAATAAAATATTTCCTTTTTCTATAAATTTCTAGATCATTTATATGACAGCTCAATGATATAATTGTTCGATTTTCTTAAAATTTAAATCATTATTCTAAAATCATAAGTCTCAAAGTAGATGAAAAACCAGCAAAGTTATAATTTGATTCTTCTACACATTGTCTGAGCCTGTTCTAATTTATATGCTAAAAGAATATATAGAAGAGTATCTGTTAAGTTTTATTCAGATTCAGCTTAAAAACTAGAAAGTTGGTTACAAAGAAGCAGACATAACAAATATGGCTTGATCGACTCGGCTTTTGATGCTGATCAAGATTATTTGTTCCTACTTTATAGGGTCAGAAATAACTCCTTCACTGCATTGCAAACTTATATATTACATATATATTTAGTATATCAATTTTTAATTATATTTCTCTCTCTGTAGAATGTGCGAACTTCTGTGTGTCCTTTGTGTGCGTGCTTGTGTGTATGCCCTAAGGATGCGACACAGACAGCAACAGCAGCAGCGCCATAAAGCAGCAATAAATTTACATTCATGAGAGAAATCAATCGCATTTAGCATGTAGTTGATGTTCCGACTTGGATTTTAATATCTCCCGAGTCCACACTGATTAAAAGTGTGACGCGAAATTCTTCTCAGTGGTCCGAGGATACACCATCTCTGACCTGCCTTCGTTTGCTGCAATATTCATGCAATCACACAGCTCCTGCAATATGTTCTAAAAGGACCTCACTGCTTCTAATGCAGCAGTGAGCTCTTTGGTTCTTTAACTTCTAAATTGCAAAAGCCTTGGTTGCTGGTTCTACTTTTGAAATGGGATTAAAGGTCGATATCCTGGCCTATTAATATTTAAGGTCGATATCCTGGCTAAGTCGCCTATCTGTCGGGCATCTGACTGGCTTTATTTTTTCGAAAGCAGCTTGATGGCTTTTAATTACGATAGCGTGGATTGCTTCCTGGGCCATTGAATGCTAATTTCGAACGCCTTTTCAGCCGGAGGAAATGAGGCGACTGAAAGCCTCTTGCGGCACCCCCCCGGGAAAGTGAAGTGTCGCCTTCCGGTTGCATCCTGCAGTCTTTTCTATATACATAAATGACAACCCCTCTCATTTTTCCGCAATTCCTGTACGCTCTTCCGTCTGAGTAGGCAATCTCCGCTTTGTGCGTGAACACTGAGAGATTTTTATAGAGAGTATTGATATTGATGGGTAATTTCTTATAAAGCTTAAAGACATTGTAAGACTTGAGGCAGCTGATTAAATACTTGGTTTTCTGCACTTTTAAATTACATTATAATTAAGAAAATGAATGCCTCCTTTGCCGTATCAAATGCTTGGATTTCTTATCTATATTTTTCCGAGTGGTGTGCCTGGCCTCGTATATATTTTCGCATTTTGTACGTGCGTCACCGTGTCAACCGCAATGCCCCCAAGCTCCTCCCCTTTGCATTACCCTTCTACCCTTCGTCCGTCGTCCTGTCCATCTCACTAAGGACCTGCCTGGTTGTTGCGGGCTGGTTGTTTGCCCTGGCACGTTGATGGCCATAAATACAGTTACATATGTTTGCATTGCGGCCAGATACTGGCCACCCCAGCAGGACTCTAAGGACCTCCCCATTCTATGCCTGCTTTTGCTCATCCTGCTCATCTCGTTAAAATTCTCATTTCCTCCTGACATCGTTTTTTTTTTTTTGTTGTTTTATTTTTAATTCCACATTGCATTTGGTTTACGAAGTTTAATTAAATTGTTCAGCTGTAATGGAAGTGGAGTGCCTTTAGTTAAGCTTAAATGAATTGATATGCAGCAAATTAAAAGTTAAAACTATATAAAACCTATTATAAAATTGATACAGAAAGTGTTATTTAAAAAAAATGTTTGACCGCTTACAAGTACAAAGCATAAAAATAATATAAACATTTTCCTTGTTTTTTATATCCCCTTTGCAGTGTTGAGCTAGAGGAGATTAAAAAAAACTCCCTTTAAAACGAGTGGCCTGTAATTTGGAAAGGATCTCGACATACAAAAAAAATGGCGCCGCAACGCATGAGGCAGCTAAAACGTCGGCAACAAAGGACGAAACTATCTTGGCAAAGGCTGCAGCAGCAACAACAACAGCAGCAATTAGAAACAACAACAAAGACCCGACAACGATACAGAGCGGTGGAAAAATGAAACAAAAACCAGAAACGAATTTTCCACTCAAATTTGCATTCAGCCAAAGAAATACAAAAGTCTAAACAAAAGAAGGAAGGAAACGACACACACAGAAACCTCGTGCACAATAAGAAAGTCGCCAGCAAAAAGGGGTCAGAGGGCAGGCACACACACACACACACACACACACACACACAGACATGAACCACAACAACACAACACACACACTCACTCTGTATAAAACAGCCGGCACATAAAACATATAAAACATTAAACCGACGGACACAGAGAACGACGAGGTGCATTGCGAACAATTTTCAACGAATTTCCCAAAAAGTCTACAAAGAGAAAACCAACAAAAGAAGTTCATTACAAAAGTAACAAAAAACGGAAACCATAACACATTTTGAAATTTGCTCTGTGATTTCTATCAGAATGGTTTAATATAATCCAAGTAATAAAAAATAATAATATTTAATAACATAAAGTATTTATAAATATTGCTAAACAACTGCGCTCGACAAAAACTTATCGAATTCCCCCAAAAGAAAAGCTTTAAATTTAACCTAAAACGTAAAACAAATAAACAATTTCTATAAATATTACCAACCAAAGTTTACTAAAGACGAAGAATCACTAGATAGAGCGAGCGGCTTAAGCTAGCTGAAAGCCCCAAAAAAAAAAAACGTCAACGAACCTCGATCAGGACCACAAAGACTCCACCAAAGGAAGGACTCACCCAGACCAGAGCCATGGACGAGATGCCCGATCTGTCGCACCTAACGCCCCATGAGCGGATGCAAATCGAGAATGTCCTCATGCGGCAGAAGCAGGAGGAGGAGAAGCAGAACGAGATCATGCGGTAAGTAATCACTATTATTTAAGTACGGATTAATCACAACCACAAGAATATTCATAGTTACTTGTTACTAGAATTTACAATAAACCCTTAATCCCCTTGCAGGCGAAAACAGGACGAAGTGGTCACGCTGGAAATGCAAATCAGGCAACGTTCCGAGCAACAGAAGAAGGCCGGCGTTGAGCTGGATGCCACCTGTCACATATGCCTTAAGACCAAGTTTGCCGACGGTGTTGGCCACATTTGCCACTACTGCAACATACGCTGCTGCGCCCGATGCGGTGGCAAGGTGACGCTTCGCAGCAACAAGGTGAGTGGATACGATCCACCTGACAGCACTCGGAGCTCTCGCTCTTGAGTGTGTGTGAGTCCTGGCATCAGGCTTAGGTCCGTGTTCGTGGCTCCGCGCGTGACAGCGGGAAAATGGTTTCTTTTAAGGGTGATGCGCTCATTTTCCGCTCATTGACAAATAGAACAACGCTGGTGCCAAAGGCTGACGCCAATATTGCTGGCGGCACGGCACGACAGCCGCTTGACTAAGCAGCCATCACTCATACGCCCCATTGCCACATCGCCAATAGACATAGAAGCTTGTTGCCAACTGTCCCCAGTGACGCGTAAAGCATCGCGTAATAAATAAGTGCCATTGTCGCCTTGGTGTCCACCATTGAGAGTTGGATAATTGTGCGAGTGGGAGGAGGAGTATACATATATCGTATCTATCTTCCATTCTGGCGCCTCTCAAATTCAAACTCATAACTTACAAATAATTTCTGGTTCCCAACCAATGTCTGGGGGTCAAGGATATATATAAAAAGCGAGCTTACGATTCAAAACCCTTTTTCTTATTCGTTGTGGGTAATATTTTAGTTCTCGTTCCGATTATTATGGCATTTCCTTAAAAGAACTAAGAGAAGGAAGCACCATGCAACATATTTAAATATTCCCACAGTAACCAAGTGCACCACTGTGCAATTTTATTGGTTTAATCATCTATTAGATTCCTTTTCAAAGTCAATGTCAAAGTCAAGATGACTAACACAGGCAGCGTAATTAAGTTTTAAATTAATAAGTCTGCTTTGGATAACTTTAACCAATAAAAAAGAAAAGAAAACGTCCTTCATCCACCTTACCATCTCATCCGGAGATACCTTAAGTAATAGCCTTGGTAACCGGATATTGATTGCTGGCATTGAAGGAAGCTACCTCCTTTGACTCCCCTGTATCCCCGCCTTCCCTTGCAGTGCATTGCATTTCAATTACACATTTGATTTTCCTCTTTTTTCTGTTCTGTTCAATTTTTATTTAACCCAGTGAACCGTTTCGTTGTCTGTGTTCACTCGTTTTCTTTTCTTTTGCGCTATTCGGGCTTATCATTTTCTGGTCGTGCTGCCAAACGTTTTTCCGTTGAACTTCTGCCAAAATGTCACACACACACACTCACAAGCTTGCAGAGAAAATGAAAACCATGGAATGGAATTCACTTCACGGCAAGGCATCATCTTCCCTAAAACGGTGTGGATCTGGATGCGCGGAATATTAGCGACATGGAGAGCCAGCGGTATCCAACCATCCTTCGGCCATCCCGTGCGGGAATCTCCAGCATATACGCATTGGAGAAGCCGGCAAAGTACTCGTTCCATCCACGCTCCACGTAGGTGGTCACACAGACGTTCCTCCCCAGCACCGCAAACAGTTGCATGAATAGATAGAGCAGCGTGGGTCTGACATGCCATGGAAATGTCGGTATTATTCGTCTAGCTTCCAATCTCCGTTCGGATTCTTCAATAACCGCCAAAAGGTCCTGTTCGACTTGGGCCATGCGATTCCTCAGTTCGATGTCCATGCTAACCTCTCTCTCTCGGTGAATTTGAAAGCGTAGCAAATGTGTGTCGGTGTAAATTCCCAGAAGAGTGTCGGAACTATAATCTAGTGATTGACTCGGTACTCAATGGGATTCGTTTGACACACAGCTAAAGGGTGACTATCCAAAGTGACACATGACTCCCAGGTATCTTGATGTAGTTTGGATTTTGTTCGTGACACGTAAATCCCTAGAGAGATTTTATAGTTTTTACTTTCGATTCGATAGGGTTGCCGTTTTGATGGGGTTATTTCGCAAGGCGATAGGTGTTTCACAGGGTAGATACCTTCTTCTAAAGACTTCATTGATATAAGTCTGTATTCTAACTCTACAATTCCTATAATCTTTCAGGTGATTTGGGTATGCATTCTGTGTCGCAAGAAGCAGGAGCTGTTGTCAAAGACTGGTCAATGGATTAACAAGACGGCAGCCCAACAAGATGGTTTCATCCGACGCATCGAGCCGGATGGGAGTAGCGTAAGTACTAACTTACCGGATCTCCAGTCATCCAGCTTAATCTATATATATATTTCTTTTCGGCAGGACATCTCCCAGCAGGCCATTGTGGATCCGCGGGACACCACGGACAAGCGACCCAAGTTGGAAAGAACTCGCAGTGCCGCCGAAAAGGAAAACCTGCCCATGCAAAGGGCGGGCAGTATGCTAAGGCGTCAGTACTCGCAACAGGAGCAGCCCACGAACCGCCGGATGTCGGCCTCGGACAGTGGCATGGATCCCATGATGAGTCCCGGCCAGCATCCGCATCAGCATCCTCACCAGCAGCAGCAGCAGCAACAGCAGATGCAGCATCACCAGCAGCAGATGCAGCAACAGCAGCGTGCACGCATGCAGCAGATGAATCCGCAGCAGGCACAGCAAGGATACGGAATGCAGCAGCAGGGGCAGCAGAGATCGGGGGGTGGTTATCCCGAGGAGGATCCAAGCTACTATCAGGTATATATTTTGCTTTAATACTATCTCTAACTTTAGTAAAGTTTTCTAATTCATTGAATTTATAAGTAATTATTAAATAATTCATGTTCATTCCATATTTTTAGGGCGAGCTGGACGGCCTGATGAGGCAGCATCCCCATCTGGCGCATCCCAGTCAGGTGCAGCAGCCGCATGCATCGCAGTCACAGATGCAACATCAACAACAGCAGCACCAGCACCAGCAGTCGCAGCAACATCTCATGCAACAGCAGCAGCAGCATCGACAGTCGCCGCAGCAACATCCTCAACAGCACTCGCAGCAATTTGGGGGCAGGCAGCCGCCACAGCAGCAATCCTACCAGGCGCAGGTGCATCATCAGCCGCAGCAGCAGCATCATCAGATGCCCCAGCATCAGCACCAGCACCAGCATCAGCATCATGGCCAGCAGATGTCCCAGTCACAGTCCCCGATGGGGAGTTACCAGAAGCCGCCGCCGCTGACCCGCAACCTGACCATCAGCGGCGGTCATGCAATGGATACCGGTGCCTATAGCCAGCAGCAACAGCAGCAGCAACGTCGAGCGTTGGCAGGATCACAGTACGCCTCGACGCAGCAGAGATCCTTCAGCAGCTCCGAGGAGGAGTTCCAGCACCAGTTGATGGCCGCTCAGGCGCAGGCGGCGGGAGCAGGAGCCACGGTTACCGCTGGATCGGACTATGATGGTGAGTTGAGACGTTTTGTCCAATTTGCATCCATCTTTCTCCCTCTGTCTCGCTCTCGCTCGATCTATCTATCTCTGCTCTATCCCGCTCAGACTACACCTGAGCGATCCTCTGTCTCTCCTCTCCGACTCACCTCTCTACCTACCGTCTATCTCTATCGCTTCCATCTCTTCCAATCTCAATGTCCCGCAAGGCAATGCCCCAATCCAAATCCAAATCCGAATTAAGTTTTCCAACAATTAACTATCTCTCTATCTCGCTCTCTGTAAGCTCTCTCTTTGACTCGCTCGCTCGAAAATATTAAAAAAAAAACCCAAGTCCTTAACAACAAAAAAAAGCAATGAATAATCCTTTCGAAAATGTAGCACTCTCTTGTCTCACATTGGTGCGTTGTCTTTTTCTTTGGCTCCCTCTTGAGATCCAATATTTGATGTTTTTTCCAAACCAAATCAAAAGTCTTTTAACTTTGTGTTTGCCTCACATTTCTGTGTTTCTTTTATCGGTGTAAATATTTAATTTTTAATGTCTATCAAACTCATCCATTAAGTTAACTTTAAGCTTACAATAAGGTCATAAGTTTGAATTAAGATTAATGGGGGATGTATCAACAGGAGAGATTGGATAGATATATTTATAAAAATATGAAAGGAAACTAAATTTGGGAAGCCCAAGTTTATCCTTAAAGTTTTCAAATGCATTATAGAACCGAATTGGATATGCGTTGCATATTTTGAACCGATGTTTATTGCAATTTTATGATGGCAATTTCGTCCACAAATCAAGGTTTTAAAAACTCATAGCTAAGCCAAGAAAGCATTAATTTCAATTCGGAAGGTTTTCCTTTGCTAGTTTTTAATAGGTTAATAAATCACCATACTAATTTTTTAAAATTTTTGACAATTTTGACGATGTATAAAGTTTTGAAAAAATTTGTACCATTTTTTCTTTATAAGATGGCTATATCGATTCCGTTTTGAATGCTGACCAAGAATATATTTGATTTATTAATATTACTTTTAAGCTTAGTTTTCTCAAAGTTTTTATATATACCTATTCCTATTCCTAAGCCAGATCTAAATCTCAGCAAAGAAAAACATAAAATTTTGCTCCTAAAATGAAACTTTAAATGTCTAAACCGCAAAAGTTTTCCCAAATATTTTTCCTACAAAAGAAAAAATGCAACTTGCATGCCGGGGTTTACACAAAAAAATAGAAAGGACCATATACTCACCACTACACCTACACACACATAATTGTACACACACACACACACACACGTGCGGTGGCTAAAAATGGAGGCAATCGTACAAAGGAAACAAACTTGGGAAACCCGAAATTGTAATACCTTTGCTGTAAATATAGAACCCAGTAAAAATACTAGGAAACTGTAACTAAGTTTACCTTTGTGCACACAAAATTCTCTGCAATTAATTAATTCCGTCCAAGAATAGAGAACTTTTCCACAAATTTCTGCTTAATTATATCTGAGAATTTAAAGCATGAAAACCAGCTGAAAGACATTCATTGAAAGGGTATAGAGAATGCGAAAGGCGAATGCTTTGTAGCGGAAACATTTCGATGCGCTTATCTCGGAGGCACTTGACTCGACGCTCGACAACAGCCAGCGAATGGTTGGGAAAATCTGAAGAGGGGCTTCGACGCAAAAGCGGTGGGGAAAACCCCGACGCGAAGGTGCCGAGGAAATGGCGGAAAATAAAAATAAATTGTTTACAGAAAGAGGGGGCCCGAAAAGAGGCAACCGCGAAAAGTGCGCACTTCTGGACGCTGCATACTTCCTCGCTGGCCGTTAAATGCAATCAGCATAAATTATATGCCAGTGCAAGGCAGGAAGGTTGCACAGCTGACCCGAAAACACATTTTCCATCAGGAAAACGCAGCAGGGCAAAAAGAACAAGAAAATGCACATAAAGGAAGGAGGAAGGAGGCGGCAGGCCAAGCAGCTTTTCCCTTTTTGGCAGCCACCACAAAACATCAAGAAGTTGGCCAAGCAGCTGCACTTGCCTCATGAAAGGGGGACGGGTGTGGGTGGGATTTTTCAAATATATAGAGAGGAGAGGTAGGGTGGGAAGGGTTTCCTTCTGCTCTTCATGTTTTGAGAGATGCCCGGCGACGTTGTCAAGTGCGATGCTGGCAAATTTATTATCCTAATTAGAAAGTTTCTTGTTGGCACTTGCTGCTTTTCTGCCACAATTTTTTTCTAGCATGCACCGGGGAAAATTAGACCCAAATTGCATCGATCATTGATTGAGTATATATTCCAAGTCAGAGAAAGTGTCCTGAATTTACTTGAAGAACTTAAAGAATATTGTTTCATTCATATTTGAAAACTGAGATAAGGATTTTATGCTTCCAAAATAAAAGTTAATGGAACTATCGGGACTTTTCTGTATTTCAGAAAATATTTTCGACTAGCTGTTAGAAGGCTTCAATAGTTACTCTTTAATTAAATAATTAGCTATCTTTGCTGAAACTAATGTGTGTTTGTATACCTTTGGAATGATGAAATCATTAAAATAAAATCGATCTTTTAATTCTTAGAAATTCTACAAAAATCAAAACAAAAACCTTTCACAACTTATAATCTTTAGTTATTTTCTGTTCGGCATTTAAAATACCAAACTGAGTTCCAATTTCTCTCAGTGATTGCCTTGGTGGCAGTGCAACATGCGGCGCTTGGTGATTTAAATTTTTTATTGCTGCACATTAGCGCGCAAGTTTCTGGCAAGCATGTTGCACTTGCCCCGCAAAACTCCTACTGTCATTTTCAATTTCCCGACAAACTAGCATATAATAATTATTGATTTCAACTTTGACCCCCCGTCCTGTGTGTCAGTATCAGCTGCTGGCCACAGCGTGTGTGTGGGGTGATCTAGTGTGCCACAGGGTCACACTCTGCAGCATCTCATAAATTAAATGCTAAAATGCAACCTAGTGATAAAGGAAATCGAAAACGACTCCGAAACGGAAACGGAAACGGTGGCAAGTGAAAGTCTCGCGGGAAACAAAGAAAGTGCGGGAGATGGTGGACTGTGTGTGGACTGTGTGTGGATCCTGTTCAGGTGCAGCTGCACCTGCTACACACCACAGCCGCGCCAAACACCAAATTCACCACATTGTTTGCCAGTTCACAATGCTCACAGCGTTTCCCCCAGACGTCATGCGTTGGAATTTCTCATCCAAACGTATTGTGGCCTGGAAAATTCCCACACACCAGTGTGCCAGAGCAGCACGCATGCGCTGTAATTTCCCCCTGTCCTACTGCATCCTTCGTCCACCTTTTTAGGGTTTTCCATTGCTGTGGGTGGTGTTGGAGCTGGGCGGCGGATGGAAGAGCAGCTGACGCTGTCGAGAAGCGCGCGTAAACCCTCCAAAAATGGGAGCGTATCCGTGTTGTGTTTTGTGGAAAATTAACCTCTTAAAATTACTATTATGTTCTTTTTTAAAGAACACTTTACTAACTGAGGAGGTTTTCTAAATAAAATTAAAGTCAAGGAGTTAAATTTGAGGTTTTCTTTAATAAAGATTTCTATGTGTTCTTTCTTTCAAAAGATTTACAAAATATAGTTTAGGTTTAAAACCATGAGATTTCTATTCTTGGAGTAAAGGCTGTAAATATTTTGAGTTCTAGAGCGTAAAATTAACATTCCAATTTATATATTTTCATTAAATCATAGGTAAAAGATATGTTAAAATATATCTGTCGTACTTTTTGATTTTAGCTTAAGTTAACCCCTAAAGCTTAAACCTTCAATCAGAACCCAAACTCTTAAACTCTTTTTAATAACCACCACAAAACGCTTCGATCTGCGTCACGTTAGCCACTTTTGAATCCTTTTTGCAATCGGACGCCACTTGGTTCTTTGGTTTGCCCTGCAGGCGACGTCACTTCATTCAGTGCATCGCATTTCGGTCTTGTGCAGCGTCATGGTCTTTACTACTCGTCCTGCCAGCAACTACAACTAATGCACTTGCACTTGCACTTGCAGCAGCAGCGACAGCAGTTGGTTGCCTTTCCGCATCCAGCACGCGCCGCACCACCCACTCACCGCACACCCCTCACCCTGGGACGCCCACTGACCACCACCCCGCCCCCTATTGGCTGGAAGGCAAAGACAAACACGTTGACTTTGCGGGAGATTCGCCTTGAAGGTGGCAAACACAAACACCAACACACACACCAACACACTCACATACACACCACACTTAACCCCTTGTAGGCCAGCATATATGATTTAAGTAAAATATTTACTTTCCTTGGGAATAAATAAGGGAATTCTTTGTTTTTCTTTGGATTCTTTGTTTTTAATCTATGCTTGAAAGTATTTTCAATGGAATATGGTTTAGGGAAATTTTTAATATTTAATTTTAAATAAGAATTGTTGGAGAAACCTGCTTAAGTTTATATCCTAGATATTTAATTGAGCCTTAATTTATGATTATTAAAATTAATCCTTAGGCAAGTTAATTAACTTTTCCCAAAAAAAAGCACATCAATGAATAGTAATCAGTATTAAAAACCTTATTTTCCCAGCTTCTTTTGTGTTAAAAAAAAGTACCACATTTAATTTTAAAATATTATTAAAGATTATAAAATAATTTAGGCAAAAGAAAGCATATCCTACACACAACATTTTTAGTTACAAGTTTTCACCAATATGTAAATCAAAATGGCTGCCAATGTTGTAACAATGGCCACCATAGGGTTAAGGGAAATGGATGCAACCCGCTGACCCCAAAGATGGCGTTGGGTGGCAAGGGGCGGGGGTGGAATGGTGGAATGTGGGCAGCAGCAGCAGCAGCAGCAGAAGCAGCAGCAGCTGTCAATGTTATCGCTGCTGGCTGCGACGCCGGCGTCTACGTTGGCAGCGGTGTTGGCCACGCGCTTAACTTTATTTTTAGTTCGGCACTGGAAGCGCCATGGGAAAGTGGCGGCAACAACAAGCCGCCGTGTAACATTGTTATTGGAAATGTTGTAGGCT